TTTCCTTAATTGAATTTTTAACACTGGAAGTTCAGTTGTCTCTAGAACAAGAGCTAGGAGATTTTGGTAGATGTTCGGTGTCTGAGGACTTAACGTTTGGTCACACCTGTCTCTCCTAGCTTTAAAAATTCTACTTATTCCAAGAAATGGAATGTTGCCTACTGCATTTAATTTTGTTGACTGAATGTGACAATTTCCTATGTCGTTAATAATCCATTTCAAAACTGCCTTACACTGACTTTTTGGAAGACACACTTTGTAAACAAGTAGTCATCCAAATTTAAGTTAATATTTAACCAGGTATCCTAAGATGTAAATCAAATGAAGTAACATTTGGATGAACAGATATGTTGTATTCACAGTTAAGTTTGCTAGCATGCTGGCAATAATACTTTTCTGGCATAATTTTCTGTCTGAAACATCAAAAATTTAGAAAAACATGCTTTTGGATCAAAATAGTAAGATAGTTGATCTTTTTCTTTTTTTAAGATTTATTTATTTATACATACAAAACTGGGGTGCAGGCCAGAAGTTCAGGGGCAGTGAAAGGATTCACCAGAGACAGAGTAGAGAGCAAAACAGTCAGACTGAGGAAGTACACTGCTGTGGGGAGCAGTGGGTGGGTCAGGAGACGTCTGCCGGGCAATGTGGGTCACTTCCACTACCAGGGATCAAACTCACACTGAGGCGGCTGCGGCCAGCTTGCAGTGCTGTGTCTTAACCCACTGCGCTGCCAGGGAGAGCCGACTTTAATCTTTTTCAGTTTTCATCAAAGTATTGTATACCTATGGTTAAAAACAATGCCTTCTTACCCCTAATTTCACTCACCTGTAATTCTTTTAATTATTTTTGTTTTCTGCTTCTACCGTTGATAATGAAGGTTTTTTCTTCCTTTTTTTTTTTTAAAGATTTATTTATGCATACAGAACTGGGGTACAGGCCGAGGTGCAGAGATAGAGTGGGAGCAGAACAGGCAGATATACTGAAATATACTGTTGAGGGGAGCACCGGGTAGGTCAGGAGAGGTCTGCCACACCACGTGGGTTACCTCCCTGGCTGGGGATCGAAATCTTGCTGCAGAAGCTGCAGTAATTTCATAGTGCTGTGCTTTAACCCATTGAGCCCCGAATGTTTTGTCTTCTTTAGATAATACGACTTTTATACTCTGTTCTTAATAAATCTATTTTTATCATGGATTCCCCACAATAAAGAAGGGATGACTTAAGCCACATTTCCTACCCTTCCATCTTCTCATTCTCTCTCCATCCAGACTTTTTGTGAATTATTTTTAATTTTTCTGTTGGTTTCTTATGTTTACAATTTTTTTTGTTCTATTAATTTTAGATAGTATATCTTGATTCTTTACCATGTAAGCTAAAACTCCTTATTCTCTTACCTTCAAACGTTTATTAACTGTTCTTTTTAACATCGTGCAGATCAGTAATATTTGCTTTCTGTCCTACAATTGTATATTGTCTCCTTTTCTTGACTTGAATTTACTGTAATGGTTTTCAAAATATTGTTTACTGTAAAGGTAAGCTAAGTAATGTGCTAATTCTCTTTGTGTATAGTAGATCATTGATATATTTAAAAGAATTAGTCAGCAGTGAACATCTGCTGAGTGCTGGACAAATTATGGACAAAGGTCATATAATTTATTCTAAACAGTAGGCTTATGGCATATAAAACAGAATCTAGTGGGTATTAACACACATATTCCCTGAATGAAGTACCTGGCAAGTCAAAAGGAATCTAAGTGTGAAGCTTGAGTGGGACAGAGGAGGTAATTATTAGCAAAACCCAAAGAAAGAAAGCAATCATTCAGGTATTTGAGGAAGCAGATTATACACAGTACACAGAACCAAGTACAAAGGCTCTGTGGAAGTAGAATACCTGGCGTGTTGAAGACACAGTAGGAGACTAGTGCATTTGGAGCAGATGATACAAGTAGAAGTGAGATCAGGTTAAGTATCAGGCATCAGATCAAGTAGCTTAGTCCTGATACCATCAGACCTACCCCCTGCATTTTTACTAAAACCGTGGTTAAGTAAAATTTTTATATGATCTTGAATTTTAAAAGGATAAATTCTTAAATAATTAAATATATAAGGAGGAACAAAGCTATTTTTAAAATAAGATTATACTAATGTGTGTGGACTTTTGCATAGACTCACCTTACAAATAGAGACTGATAAGACTGTTAAATTGTAAATGGGAAACAATTCTTGGTAAAATTTTTATATTATAACTTTTTCTTGATTCAGAGTAATTAAATGCTTATATTCCAAAAACACTCTGTGTGTGTATACACACACACATACACACATATAATGGATTTAAGACTAAAATAATTCTAAATAACTTTTTAAAAATTGAGATATATATTGGACTTGAAACTGTGTACATTTAAGGTATACAGCAAATTACGATTGCCATGGTAGTGAAAGCCAACACCTCTGTTGTATCACATAATTATCACTCCTTCTAGTGCTAGAAACAATCACAAGACCTTGGTTAAGTCACTTTACCTTTTGACACCCAGGCTCACATTTGAAAGGTGAGATTTTTGGATCTCTTTATTTTCAGTTTATGCTTGGTCATATAATTAGATTTAATGTATATGCTTGGTCATATAATTTGTTCAAATATAGTTATATACTCCAAATTTGTAGTTAATTTATCCTTTGGTAAAAGACTTCAAAAATGTTTTGATATCATGTTCTGTACATCTGCATCTTGTATTTGCAGTATACTAGAGGCTGTGTCTCTAACAGTATGCGCTTCTTATAAATTAATGGTTATTATGTCACTTTGTGTTAGTGCTGGGAACTGCTGACTCCACAGTCTCACAACAGAGCTCTCCATTTCTTCTCAAGGGTAGCATTGCCAAAGGAGGGGGGAGGGGGCCTACTTTTTAAATAATTTTTTCAAGAACAGGAAAAATGACTTAATTCATCCAAAAATGAAATTCCACACACTAGTTTTTCTAAAGTACATTTTTGTGAATAAAAGTCCCTTACTCAGATGGAGTTTGGAAAAGGCAGGCAGACAAAAGAAGTCCCAGTGTCAAATATTTTAGCCATTAAAGCATAAATCTGCTGCAATTCTTCAGTGAGATAGTGTCTCAGAGAAGAAAAGGACCTCATTAATAATGTTTATTTCAATGGGCATGTTCTTCTGATAGTCTAATAAAACATGCTGATTTCTATCTCTACATTTTTAAAATAGACTATCAACTGAGAGTCCATAAATATTTTTTCCCTCTCTTCGTTCCCTCAATTCCATCTTCACTGCTCTTTTTTTTTTTTTTTGCATAAATACTCATATGTAACCTGTCACATTGATTGAGGTTATTAAATAAAGTCCCTTTGAAATCTTTATTCATTTCTCAGTGACTAAGGGTAACTGAGATCATTAAATCCCTTTCTTTATTATTAATATAAAATGGAACAAAGAGATTTAGTAACTTGGGGATACTATTAGAAATGAGCCTTAACAACAGCAAAGACAGACAACACAGATATATAATATTAGAGATAGCAAAGTAAAGAGACCAGTCACTGACTCAGGTTATGTAAATACTGCTGTATAGTTTATGCAGACATTTTAAAGTTTAGATTGATTAAGACTATTCTAGGAAAATATGAGTTACTAAATTTAAAGTTGTAAAAGAAATTGAATAGCCTATGAAAAGAACCATGAAAGATATAAAGTTCTTAAAGACCCAATGCAAAAAGCTGTCAAGACTGATTATAGAAAAATAAATAAGGGGCTTCCTCTGTCCCTACCCCCTGCACCTCTGGCCTACACCCCAGTTCTTGTATGCATAAATAAATAAAGATAAATCTTTAAGAAATACAATTAAATAAAAGGCAGGGGTGTTTCTATACTCTGACCATTAGGAGATCCCTCTCCTGTTTCTAGAGTCCTTTTTCCAGAGCTCTCTCTGTGCCATAGTGCTTCTGGATTATCAGCTAGGTTAAGTTCAGGATGGAGTGGCAAAGAGGAGAGAAGGGGAGTTCTGCAACTTCAGAAATACTGTGAATTCTATTATTCTTCTCTAATTCATCTTGGAATATTTACTTTTCAGTTTCCTTAAATAGTAGCTCCATGTATTCTGTCCAAGTTTTATGGTTTCATTTAGTTGGAGGGATAGCATAGACTGTCTACTCCATTTTAGCCAGGATCAAACCCTGAATTTCCTTGTAAAAGAGAATACTTGTGATATTGCCAAATTCCTTCTACTCTTCTCACCCAAGACTGTGCCCATACTATGGTACAATCGGGATCATGACACATTATTGCAAAAAATCTTTATTAGCTGTTTTGTCTAGGACAAAGTACAAGTGCATTTTCCCGTTCAAATTCCCCAGCAGCATATACCTCATATTCCAGTCAAACAGGATCACTTGTTGCTAGTTATTCCATTCCACACCTTAATTTCTGTAACCTCTCTCTGCCTAAAATAGTTTTGCAACCTTTCAATTTCTGCCTTTCACTTTTTACTTCTTCAAATTACACAGTTTTTAAAGCTCAGTTGCAGTTCTTTCTTAAAATTTATTTTAGTTCTCTGCCTCTTTCTCATGTTTCCCATAAAAGGAGTATGTAATCTCTTCAGTCTTTGAATAATGATTATTTTTATTTGTGTATTTTTTATGATTTACATATATATACATACATATGTGTACATATAGATACATATTTTGGTTTTGGATTATTTCTGTTTAGAGTAACTGTCAACCATAGCCTGTTGTTATGCTTCAGATTCAACATATTTGGTGACATTTAGTGCCTACATGTACTTTTTCACTTACTCTTTTGTGTCAACTCTTTGAGATAATTATTCTGAATCGTAATTCATATAAGGACATTGAGGGTAAATAAAGTGACATCTTAACTCTTCCACAAAGTGAATTTCAGTATGGGCTGAATTTTCTACCTTCTCCTATCTACCATATAGAAGTAAGCAACAATAGACATAACTTTTCTTCTTTCTACAGTACCTTGGCCATGTAGAAGTTGATGAATCAAGAGGAATGCATATCTGTGAAGATGCTGTGAAAAGACTAAAAGCTGTATGTATTCGATGGTTATCAGTATTGATCTATAGTCTGTAAATATTTTCTTTGGAAAGATTTTTATGCTCACTAAATTTTAGCAACCCACTACCCATAAAGAATAGTATCTATACTAAGAAAAAAGTTGTTGCTCATTAATAAAGAACTTGTGTTAATCATCCAAAGAGACAAATTATTAAGATCAACCTCTTCAATATAACTCAGATATTACCTAAAAGATATATTGTTCAGAAACCATGTAAAACAAGTGGTAGGTAAAACTACTATAATGAAACCATTATAGCTTGTATCTTAACCTATGATAACTGAATTATAAAGTACTGATTTTAAATCTACTATAAGAAACAGCCTTCTAGGAAAAAGAAGTAGAAATATAAGTGTTGATGGCTGGTGATATTTATGTTTTGGGGGGACTTCTCATTATTTTCTTATCTCTTACTCCTCAATTTCCTTCTGTACACCCCACCCCTCTAATATAAACAATATAATTCCCTTGCCTTTTGCACAAACTTCAGCATACTTGAAATGGCAGAGGTTTTTTGTTTTTTTGTTTTTTGTTTTTTTTTTCCCAGGGCAGGTAATACTTACTTCGTCTGTTGTGCCACTTTCCAGGCACATGCCTATATAGTTAATAAAAGGAGAAATTGGCTTTCAAGTTCATAAAGGTTGATATGAAGGTGTTAATAATCAAATTTTGGATTGCTTTGAAAATTGTTTCATAAACTCTGACAGCCCTCTTCTCACAATCTTCCTTCTCTCCAGTGTGTGTCCTCCCCACCCCTTCCTGTAAACTGGAAGCATTATTGCATGCCCTTGCCTCAACAACATTTTAAGTATTTGTTGCTTTGGGTTTGCTGATATGGCAGGCTGCCACAAGTTTGGCTAACTAATGAGTGCTTTCCTCCCCTTCTCGATTTGCTGAATTAAAATTTTTCTGCTTCTTGGTACATACTGTATGACCTTACCTAGAATTATTCCTCAATATAAAAGACATAAAATTGAAGAAACAACCAATTCAGAGAGGTAGATTTTATTTTGGAAAAACTGACTTACTATTGAAGGAAAAGAAGGAAAATAACTGAGTCTAGTATACAGGAAACTGGGAAAAAACAAAAATATATAGACATACACACACATCTATACACACACACACACACATACACAAACCCCTTTTACCTCGATTTTGGTCTTCTATATTCTTTTCACTATTTTTTAAATTCTTAAATTACTGAGTCCCTTCCTAGTCCATCTATGCTGTCTCAATTAATCATTATTAAATAATTTTTTGAAATAACATTGGTTTACAACACTGTCTATGATTTAGAGGTATAGGATCATACTTGCCACATGTATGTTACCACATCACTCCCACCAACCACCAAGGGACCCACCTCCACTGTGCACCCTCCTTTTCTGTGCTCTTCCCCCTTCCTTTTTCCCTCCTCTCTGGTAGCCTCAGTTCATTAGGGAATATTTTTATGATGTTAAAATACTAATGACTGAAAACAATGGACAAATAAGTGAACGACTAAGCAGATCGCAAACAAATGTAAGCAGTTGTTAAAGTCTTACAACTTCTACAACTTAATCTTAGAAAGTTACTGTAGGAAGTCTTTTAATTCAGAGTATGGCTTCATTTTTACTGTCTTAATAAGGAAAGTTTGCCCAGAAGACACTAAGAAATGGTTTCCATTTTTTAGTGAAGTTAATCCTAACCATCTAGGTTTTTATTTTAGCTACTTTTTTTCAGAAACATCTCTTTATTACAAGGGTTATATATATATATGTATATATATATATATATATATATATATATAGAGAGAGAGAGAGAGAGAGAGAGAGAGAGAGAGATAGATGTATTTTGGTATGAAGTACAAATGCACAAAACAGTATATAAAGCAGAATTTCTTGTAATCCCAGAGAAAGCCACTATTAGCCTTGTGGCATTAAATTAACTTTTTAGTTGAGTGAATTTTTTGTTTTACCTTTTTGTATCAAAATATTATAAACTGTAAGCATGATTATTTGAGGTACATGACTTTTTAGATAATAAAAGTTAATTTTTATTTTACCTAAAATAAGAGCCAAATTCTCATTTAAAAAATTATTCTTTTGCCTCAACAGTGTCTGGCACATGGTAGCTATTTAGAAAGTATTCTGAAATGAAAGCAATTCAGTCCTTAATATGTGATCTTATAATTTCTCATACAATAATTGCATCGTATAGTAATTACCATATAGCCTTATATTTACTATTTTAAGTTTTATGGAAAATTTTTGCGTCTTTCTAAAAGATTATTTTTTGTCTGTCTTTTATGACTAAAATGAAAATTTATATATGTTGATTAACCTTTCAGACAAATTTTTGAACTTGAAAACTGACCACTTCTGAATTATTCATTCAAGAAGTCCTTTAATATTTCCCAGACAAATCCTATCTGAAAGAGTTAGAACAAATATGTAATTTCACATGGACAAACATGTATTTCTAAATATAACATTGAATTTTTGGATAACTGGGCTGAATTTTCTATTTAATGTACTCAGTGATGCCCTTTTGAATGCTATAATGAGAAGTCTCCAGAAACTTGAAAGTCTTCAAAATGTTATTCTCAGCTATAGTAATCCACAAAAATTCTTGTCTTCATGTTTTCACTGTACAGAAATTTCTGATTGCATCCCCACTCTGCATCCCTCACACCCTCCCCACCCCCTACCCACATCTATCTAGCAAACTTCTGTAATGTGTTGTACCAGATGCTTATGCTGTGCCAAAAGCTGGAGGTTTATTGTTTATCTATAGGTCATAAAACAGATTTTCAAATACTTGGAGACAACTGCATACAAGTATATAGAAGGCTCAAAAAGAAATAGTGTATCTGTGGAACTAATTTTAATGCCAAAGTTTTAAACTTTAATTCTGTAGCTCAAATTTTCCAATTAGTAGCATCTTAATCGAACCTATTACTTGAATGATTTTTGACCCCAAAGTCCTACTGCTTTTTTTATTTGTGGAGAGTTGAGGAAGCGGGATAATTTATAAGAATAGTTAATTCCCTTCCCCCCCCCCCAAAAGTAGTCCTTTATAATTGAGGATTACTTTAACTTCACTTGGAAGTTATCTACATACTTAGTAAGTTGAAAGATATCATTAAACAGGATGTTTTAAATATAAGTGATTTTGTTTAAACTGTTTACCTTTGCGCATAAAGTTACAACTATTTTCAACTCCTTTGACATGTTAACCAGTTTGGTACTGAGATTGTATAAGCGTAACAGAACTACTGCCTATTTTCAGTGCCTTTATGGCATAGTGTGTTGTAGGGTGAAGATGTTATTTATTTTTTCACTTTGTAAAAATTTTGTCAGGCCTTTCATTATCTTGCTTGACACTGGTTCAACATGTCCTTCCTTTACACAAAGGTCTTTTCTTCCTGTTCTCTCTATAAATGTCTCTCCCTCTTTCTGTCTTGGTTTTAGACTAGTCTCATTACACTAGCAATATCTAATATATTGTTTTTTTATTTACTATTTGATATATTTGTTTTAATATCTGTTCTTGTTTTAGCAGGTAAAAGAATCATAACTTAATTGTTTTTTATGAAAAACATTATTATCCTCTAATCTAATAATCTTTTTATGCATTTTGCACGTGAACTTTTTCATTAACACCTGAGGTTTTTGTTTGGTTTGTTGTGTGTGGTTTTTTGTTTTTTGTTTTAATAAGAGAAGGCAAACTCCATGTTAACTGGAGCTTTTCTGGGACTTAAATTAATATTAACAGATCTCTTTCCCTCACTTTCACATCCCTACAGAGTTGTGGATCTTTTAACTTTGGCTGCATCCTTAAAAGCTGGTGGTACTTACAGTCTAACAAAAAGGGTCACCAAACTTGGCAGCAGAAATAAACTTATTCTTACTGCAATAACTACCCCAAATTACTAATTTTCAGCTTAAACTCAAATTATTTTGTGAAAATATTTGCTTCTCTTGTGATCTTCAAATTTCAGAGAGAAAATATTACAACTATTCAGTGTTTAAGAACATTGAAAATAGAGAAGGTTAAAGTTCAGTACAGTTGTCTTTTTGTAGATATTTGTCCAACATTAAAAACTGATTATAGAAAGTAAAGGCTTAACGTACAGTCCTCCCAAGTCTAGGAAATGTAAAGGTAAGCTACTTGGGTGAGTTAGCACTAATTTTCTCTATGTGACTTCTTCAGATTATAAATAGTAACCCATTTCCAAGGTTTTTGTATATTCTTAACAATTGGTACTGGGACCAGAGATAATTATGCTTCTCCTATCTACATAATTTTGGAATTGTTTGCTTAAGTTAATGTCAGGGTAAATTTTTCATTCTAAAACAATAGCATTTAAAAAGGAAAAACAAGACAAACCAAAACACCCTATTTCAGTTGTGATCTACAGATGTGGTTTGGTTCTTTGATATATTTGGTTTCTCAACTCCAGTGAAAGCATTAGCCTTGAGTTCTTTATGGGTGATTGATTCTGTGTCAGGAATAGCATGTATCTATTATAGCCTCTTGATCATTATGGAATTGGTTAGCGCACACATACATACATACAAATCAATCCTAATGAACAAGCAAGGATTCTCTCAGTGACATCTTGAACTCATTAAGAAAAAAATTGACCAAGGACCCTTGATGCATATTCATAATTTAATTTTTGTGTTTTGTTTTTGTATCATTAGTCATTTGAATGTGGACTGTTTTTTTAATTGATGACTCCCACAGAGTTTACCACTAATTATAAATTGAAAATTGATATGAAACCAGTCTTCTATTTACTACTTGGTATTATAAAATTTAAAATAAAATCTCACCAAGCCAGTGTGTCCTGAAATTTTTCTCTGCTGCTGCCAAATTTGGATAGTCTCTGTTTTAAAAGTAAATAAGTACTAAACTAATTAGTTGCTCCGCATGGATACAGGTTCTGATTTCTTGTCACTCTTCCTATGGATTCTTAGACCACACAGTGTGTTTCCCTGCATTTTCATGCACCTCCCTTTTTCCTCGTCACTCCTGGTATGGATAACTCTAAAACTCTCACTCCTTTCCCTTGTCTCACTTTGTCCCTTACCCAACTTCTGTTTGTGCTTATTGGTGTGAACCTTGGGACATTTAGCCCATACAATAATAGCGCTCGACTTGTCCCCCTGTTCCTCCAGGAAAGGAAGTTCTTCAAAGGCTTCTTTGGAAAAGTAAGTTTGATGCCACATTCATGCTTGCTTTATAAGGAGTTACACCCCTAGTCTAGCACTGACATATTTAACAAAAGAAGTACAGCATTGGTTTCTTTATATTACAGGAATTGATTTAACTTTATAAATTGGAAAGTTGTTGTCTGTGCTATTTCCTGTGTTTCCGAATACAAAATCTGATGATTCCTAAAAAGTCCAATAAAGGGAGTGGGTTTAAAAAGGAGTATCTCTCAAGACTAGGTATTAAAATAAATTTAATTTTATTGCACAAAACTCTTCATATTAGCATTAGTTGAATTTTTTTAACTAGTGGACTTTCCTTAGTACCCAGTCGTTTTTTGTTTTTTGTTGTTGTTGTTAAATATTTATTTATTTATACATACAGAATTGGGGGACAGGCCAGAGGTGTGGCAGGTGAAAGGATTCACCAGAGACAGAGTGAGGAGCAGAACAGGCATATGTACCGAAATACACTGCTAAGGGGAAGAGCAAGTGGGCCAGGAGAGATCTGCTCTACCATGTGGGTCACCCCCCTGGCCAGGGATCAGACTCGTGCTGCACTGGCTGTGATAGCTTCATAGTGCTATGCTTAACCCAGGTTGTGCCACCAGGGATGACCCAGTACCCAATCTTGACAGAGAAATGGAAAGAAATATTAAATTCACGTGAAAGTTAAATGTGCTAAAAATTTTATATTCAATGCTATTACTTTTTTTCCAGTCTAAGTTAAATTTTAGAGTGATAATACATACATAAGTTTGTCTTTGGAAATTTTGCTATACTTTTTAGACTGTTCTGTTAATCTAAGAAACACTTACCAATCTATCTGTGGAACCCTCTTTATGTAGATGCTTTTCAAGTAATTAATAATGTTTCAATTTCTATAGATTGAAGAATATATAGGATGACCATACACAAATAGATAAATACATTTCTAACATTTTTTTTGCATCCAAAAAAATTTATTATTGTTTAGTTTTGAGTAAGTGGTCCAAAATAATTCAGACCAAGCCAGTGTAAGAAAAAAGTGTTATCATTGGATAGCTGAGTATAAATTAAAGTTTATGTGAATATGAAAATCCTATCACATTTGTTTTTCCACTGGGTGGTTTTGTTACCTTGGAAATACATATTAAAAAACAAATAGCTTCCATACCCTTCTCAACTAAATTTTAGTTATAACCTTTATTTTACATACTCTTGTTTAGGTCACTTTTACATTAATGTGAACAAACTTGACGGATTTTAGATTGAATGGCTTCTATCAGTTTTTACCCTCAGTCTGAAATGAAAAACTTGTTATTGGTGTGGAATCTTGGGACATCTAGCCCACACAATAATAGTGCTCAACTTGTCCCCCTGTTCCTCCAAGGACAGGGTAAAATGTCACAGTAATATTTTTTTAGTAGATAGTCTGGATCTGAGTCAAATGAGCAGGTTTGTAGAAAGTGGGATTCATATCTATAAAGAATTAATCCTAAAGATATTTGAATCATTATAAACAGCCACTATAATTGTTAAGGAAAGTTTTATATGGAACATATATATTCACAAACAGAATTTCTTAAAGCTGTTCCACATCACCATAATTGCCATATAATCTTTAATTATCTTCCAAGTGAACAATTTTTAATATATCTACTTTAATATATCTAGTTTAATATATCTACTTTATATCTATCCAAGTGAACAATTTTTAATATAACAACTTTGTCTGTGAAGACTAGATTGTATAAAATGGTGATTTATTTTAAAAACATTTTAAAATATATCTTTTTAAAAAGATTATAACATGGTATTTAGAAACAAAAATAACCCTTGCTTTAAAATCAGTCTCAAATGACAACATTCATTGTTCTATATAAGGGTGTCATGATGCCTTCAGTGCAGCTAAACTAGATAATTCTGTACTTCTTAGCTGTTTTCGCTGCATTTTGCTACATGACAAGTTTATGTGTCATTGAAAGAAAATTATGAATTATTTCACTTAACCCAATAACTCTGAAATTACTATTCTCCCTTTTATACAATGAGGAAACAGGAGTTCATAGAGGTAGAGTGACCTGCCTGAATTCATAGCTGTAAGAGAAACTAGAATTTGAACCCAGATTATCTGTCATCAGCACCCACAATCACTGCTGTACTATCACTCTGTCTTCATTTTATTTATAAGCAAAATTTTCCCCAAAATTTGCTGATAAATAAGGAACTTCTTAGAAATTCACTTTTAATTTCTAACTTTCTTAATAGTAATTTAACCTTGTATTTTATCAACCTTGTCAATTTAGTTTTTTTATTGAAGTTTTGAAGAATCTTTTTCACTGTTTTTTTTTTTTTTTTTTTGCAGACACTGAAATGATACTAGTAACTTTGTCTTCTAAGTGACTACCTGAACTCTTCCCATACATTAATTGGAGGAAAATTAATTTTATGGCAGGG